CTTGGCGCTCGGCGCCCAGCCTACTCCCTACACAGCTACTACTAGCCTACTAATTGACAATGCAACTGTTGACGTCAGCAACCTCCGAAGTACTTGAAGATGTCGCCCAAGCAGACCATCGCCAATACCAGGTATGCGCCCTCACATCATCATCATCATCCTTCTCTCTCTCTCTCCCTCGTCTTACTCCCACGTCTTCCCTTTGTACACCCGAAGACCACCCCTGCGCCTCACTGTACATCTAAGCCCTCAGCCAGCTATGAAGGCTGGGCTATGGCACTGGTCTCAGCAGCGTCCTGCTTCTTGCACGACCGCACGCGCTTGCACCTCGCCTCTCAGCGCCAGCAGGAGCCCACGAACGTCCGCTCCAGCAGCGCTGCCGCTAGCGTGCGAGTGCCTGAATGAGGCGCCAGGCAATGAGCTCTTTCCTATATGGAAAGAGTCTGCCTGCCTTCGCACCTTGACTGGCCTGGGCCTGGGCCCAGAAGCTTCTGGCAGGCCCCAGGATGTTGCGCCTCTGGTGCAGCTACTGGGCCTCATTCAGTTGGGCCTCCCAACCGTCTGTGTATGAGGCTGCGAATCTCACCCAGGGCCTGCACTTTTGGAAAAGCCTAGAAGGCCGTGGAATTTCCTTGCTGCTCGGCTTGTGTTTCCTCAATCAACTGGCGCGACAAAACTGATTGGACCCCAAATACGAATCTGACAGCTTAGGGCCTCTCGTGATTTGATAGGCCCGCCTTCACTTAGGGCGGGCACATTTGCAGCAGGGGCCCCTTAGGCCTGCCGAGGACCCAGATCCTCGCATTCCCTCCTCCTTTTCTTCGATAGTCCTCTGAGAAGTCCTTATGTAACAGGCTGCTTCCCTTGCATCTTTCTCTCGTAACTTGAGATAATTTGGGGAACAGTCTTCATTAATTCCTCTCTTGTGAACCACCGGTCTTCTTGAGGATCAATGTGATGTCTGAACCGCACTCGGTATTGCATCTGTGGCTTTGGCGGTCGTCCCCTTCCTGGAGGTTTGGGCACAAGCATCAGCTTGTGCTCGATGATATCATCAATGTCCACGTATCCGTCCATGGTTGGGGGCAGCATTGATCTCCTGGAAGGAAACTGATCTGTGGCAGCGAAAGGTGCGAACTTGGATGCATGGAAAACAGGGTAAGTAC